CAAGAAACTAGCTCGCAGAAGCACTTCCAAGAACATGCTGGACTCTGCAACATCTTGCCTATGGCACTTCTGCATCATGAATATAAACGAATGTTATAACGCAAAATATAACACTCTATGTAGTTAAAATGCAATTACCATTTTACCAAAAAGGAGGCAACTCTTGTGCTTTATCATATTTCATGCTCAACAATAGCAAACCTAAGGAACCGTGCTCACGCTTGTGTAGGTATTATAACACAGTTTTCATTTAACCAAAAAAAGGCAAACCTTATGTATTTCACCAACGGTAGCCGCTATTTTCGCTTCCCCGCATCCCATATCGAACACAACAGATCCACTTGGTTTGGCCTTCAGCCACCGTATTATGGAAGAGAGAGGATGGTTCGGCCATTTTTTCACCTTAAAACGATTATTAAAAACTACGAAGTACACAGACGTACAAGCATATATTGTAGCTGAAGACTTCTAATTCAGAGCAGCAAGCATTGAAACTAGGCACAAGTGCTCACCTGCTCAGCAAATCCATTGTGATAACACCGGAAAGCATCGGGATCTTCTTTAAAGTATTCCCAAGCTTCCGAACCAGTCATTGTATACAGCTGTTCATTCAAGAACCTTAACAACCATGAACAGTCTCACTGCACACTTCAACCACAACTCAACGAAGCTTGAAGATTGTCATTATGTATGCGTCTGGTTGTCATGAAATCCGATAGAAATCCTTAGAAATAAGCCGTAGACCTATCTACTTGCATGAGCTCTACATAGCCGCGCCTACGGTGGCGTAGTATACATCGAAAAAAAAGCGATGCCAAAGGGGAAAGTTTCCTAATTCAGTTCAAAATACATTCGATCAAAAGGGGGAAAAAGGAGAAAGTTGGGCATAAGATGAAGGAGACCCACACGCAATGAGCGGGCGGTTTGGAAATGGTCTCTGCTCAACAAAACAGTCATGTCCACTTCTGAGGTAACAGCAAAGAGCGAAAACAAGGATAGAAGTGAGAGATAATAGGCGAAAACCTGCCCACAACGGGCGAAGCGGACATCGGCTAAATTCTGTCACTACGAGCTTCATACCTAGCTTCCAAGACGGCCTCAAGGCCTGGAAAACAGCGCCAAATACTCAAGGTGGGGCGAGAGCATACACCGAGGCTGGAAAATGATGTGAGGGAACTTGCATGGCGACTAGTGAAGTAGGTCTCTTCAAATGATCATGGCAAGCACGAAATGCACCGAGAGACGAGTCTAAAACTAAGAAATGGTGCTGCCTACATCCATACGTCGAGTTCCCTTGTAACGAACGCGTTAGTGTGAGAGTAATAACGGGATAATCAACAATCGGGTGCAAAAGGGGCTTTCACGTTTTTATTCGGCAGAAGAGCATTGAAGCAAAACTAGGAAATCTTCCGTTATGTCAACGATTGAAAAATGGAGAGAGCACTGAGTGTTTCCAGAAGCCATCGCTGAAAACTTGAATGTATCCTTCCATTACTAATCCAAATTCCCATTCCTCCTTTTGTGCTTTCAAACTCGCCCTCCAAATGCGAATGCATTAAAATCCACTTTTATACTTTATTGAAGCCTCTCCAAGATTTGTAGCACTTAACAAGGCTGACGTATCGGCTTTCTTCGCCTTGTTCGCTTTGACTTTGAGTACACACGTACTCAAAGTCAAGTTCTAGTGGTGGTCTTTCTCGCTCCTTGGCGACAGACATCAAGGCTCTGAAGAAGGCGAAGAAAGCCGAAACGTCAGCCTTGTTAAGTGCTACAATCTTGGAGGGGCTTCAATAAAGTATAAGTCGCACTCTCGTGTACATGCATACCTGAAACGACCGGCCTCCAGTTTCTCAAGGCTCTCCTGAGTGGTAGACATCTTGTTTGGGGACTTCTCCTCCGACTTCTCATCGTTGTCTACGAACTTCTTTTTCCGTTTCTTCTTCTTTTTCTTTTTTGCACTAGATTCCACTGTGGGGATTTGAACGGTCTGAAGAAAAATAGCTCCTTACACCGTCGTGATCGGAAAAAGCTGATTAGAACTTGCCCCATGAGCCTCTTTTAACTTTCGCTCGTTCTGCTTTCTCAGCTTCTTTACGTGCTTTCTTCCGCACTTTGTCACGCCAGGGACGTTTCTTAACGAAAACAATGAAATCATTATTGCGAAATCTTACTTCACATTAGGTCATCTGATTTGAGCTGCATATGCTTGAAGCACGAAAAATGAGGCTCAACTTGCCCATGTTGGTCCTGGAACGTCAAAAAACCGTGGAAAGATGGTGACACTCTATGGGGAAGACTTTGCTTTTCTTAGATTCGATTTTATTGTGTAAATAAACTTCAAACCCTAGTCTGAAATTATGTTCTGATCTGCAGTATGAACAGAACATCAATGTTTCAAGACCCCAGTTCTGGAAAGGACTTTTACATATTCTCAAAATCCCGAGGGCCCTTCAACGAAATGGGCTTCGTTCCTATTTTCTATGCGCGCTTCCAGAATATGTTCGACATATGAAATCTTTCTAAAAATGCGCTAAATGTATTACA